GAAGTTCGGGTGAAACTTTGGCGGTGGTTGAGGAAGAGTTTCTTCCCTCTTATCCTTCTTCTCTTCTTCTTCTTAAGAGAAATGAGGGGTCTATTTATAGATTTCTGAAGTGGCATAGCCCGTACATAGGGGGAGGATCAAGGGCAAATGTGGAGTGGATTAGATGGACGGCCGATATTGAATCCCTTGATCGTGGACCATTTTTCAGACATTTGAAGGTCTTAATGATAAGGGAATTCAGAGATCTTGGTCTCGTGGGATTCGTCTTGTTGAGCCGCTCGATTCGACTATAAGCATGTCATATTTGGAAACTGTTTGGTAATCCAAATTATGGATCGAACCTTCCAAATGTGCTTCGGGTCTTCAATTTGGACCCATTTGGGTTCAAATCGAGTTGAATTTGGTGTCGTTGGGTTCGTATTTCTGAGACGATCAGTTCAACTATAAGTTTGCTGAAATCAGAGTCTAGATGATCCTAGATTTAATTTTTGAAGTTTCCAACTTGATTTTTACCTCAATATTTGTGTCCGATCAATATAATTTTTTGATGACATATCAGTATCATATAAAAACTTAGAATCTAACTGCAATCTTATACTAAAATTCACAAAAGACAATATGAAAAAACTAATACAAATAATGGTAAACCAAGAAATTTTCAATTTTAACTAAGAACATATCTAATCTTTAATCAACATTATTTCAATATTAAGTAACTATTCCACATTAGCAAGCACTACGACAATGTACGAGTTCTAGCGTCGAAGTGCTAATTCATTTCATTGGCGTGTGGTGCCACTTTTTCAATCGTCGTAGCTCCACCTGCTATTTTCATGTTATCATATAAATAATAATGATGCTATGTTTGTTAGAGACTTCAGTCCTTGTCTAATTTTAATACTTTTAAGGGTACTTCTTTAGATCTATCATAGAGTCAATTCTATATAAGAGAGACTAGAAAGTATTATATATAATTATTAGAGTGTTTAGACATTGTTTGTTTCAGCAACTCGGTATGTTAAGGAAGAAGTGTATAAGAGATACATTAATCATTTCTGGTGATATCACTTTTTGTTTTTGTTTTTTGTTTCCTATCATGATTTCAATGAAAATGAGTTTGCTATCTTTTCTTCCATATATGGCTAATTCTCTTGTTTTGGATTGATGATATAGAAAACATATTAAATATTAATAAACATTCTTGTGCTATAAAATTAAATGATGTTTTTAATATTTTTTCATTCTTTATTTAATGCATATAGTTGTCATATGTGTAGTTAAAACCTAGTGTGATATATAGCCTCGACGAAGGAGTGTAAGAAGAACAAGGAATATTGAAATAATGTGTTTGCATACCTAGACATAAGATGTAAAATATTATAGGTTCTTAAGAAGATGATATAACTCTAGGAGATCATTAGATATCATTTTCACCCCTACAAGCTCGACAAAGATCTAGGGATATATATGCTCATAAGCATATTACAAATAAGAATTTCATTAGGAAAGAAAAGTAATTTACATTTGTCAATCCAAAATATTTTATTTAAATATTGTATCAATTATACAAATAAGAGTTTCACTATACATTTGCAAGATGATGTACTTTGGTGTATGCTTTTTGCTGATGATATTCTTCTTGTTGATAAAACTAGAGAGGGAGTTGAAGGTAAACTTGAATTATGGAGGTCAACCTTAGAATCTAAAGGTTTTTGCTTGAGTAGATCTAAAACTGAATATATAGAGTGTAATTTTAGTAGCAATAGACCTAGTGAGAGGATTGTGAAGTTGGGTGATTAAGTCATTAATAATAGTACACATTTTAGATATATTTGATGTATTGTTCAAAGTGATGGTGAAATAGATGGGGATATTATCAGTAGAATTCAAGTTGGATGGTTGAAGTGGAGGAATGTATGGCTTGTTGTGTGATAGAAAAAGTCCCCCTCTCAAACTTAAAGGAAAATTCTACAAGATGGTGGTGAGACCTGCAATGCTTTATGGTTCCAAATGTTGGCCATTAAAAGGGAAGCATAATACTAGTTTAAGAGTTACATAGATGAGATGCTCAAATGGATGAGTGGCTTTATCCTTAGAGATAGGATACGAAATGAGCATATACGTGAAAAGGTTGGAGTAGCTCTAGTGGAAGATAAGATTAGAGAGAGTCGACTTAAATGGTTTGGTCACATAAAATGGCGACCTTCTGATGACTCGTTTAGGAAAGTAGAGATATTAAATTTGAATTATGTTAAGAAAGGAAGAGGTGGACCTAAAAAGACTTGGTTAGAAAATATTAGAAATGATATTTCTTTATTAGATTTCAACGGGAATTTAATTTTTAACAGGATACAATGGAGAAAAAGGATTCATGTAGCCAACCCCACGTAGTGGGACAAAGGCTTAATGTTGTTGTTGTTTTATTATATCCATTATTTTTACTGTTTTTATTTATTGATTGAATCTCCACAAGCAACATTTTTATTTCAGTGGGATAATTTCATAATTAGAGTAAATGATAGTACTTGATTGCTAGAAAGCATACTTTCCCGTGAGTTCGACACTCAACTTTATCACTTTATTACTTTATTCAGAACAAATACCTACGTGTATTAAGTGGGGTTGTTTATTTTTTATATATCAAAGAAAACTTAAGCATGTTTAGGAGATATAGAGCTTTAAATATATTTATAATTCAAATGTGCACTCCACAGCCCCCATCATTACACTCATGCATATAATAATAACCCCCCTCACTCAATCAAAAACACATAATAATTAATTTAAAAAATGATGATAATTATAGGGTTCAAAATGAATGGCTTGCTTTTCAACACATATGAGTGAGTGTAATAACCAAAATTTGAAAATGGATTTATTTAAAAAATTTAAAAATTTGGATCCAGTTGGCTACATTAAGACACTTGGGAACTGTCGTCGTTGTATTGAATACTTTGTTCTATAGTAACTATAAACACTAAATCAAGTTTTTAATATATTTAATATAAATATCCCTCACCACCTAGCCATCCCCCCTCCCCCTCTCACTCTTTTTGCTTGGTTGGGAAAGAAAGAAAGAAGAAGGAGAAGAGAAAGGAGAGAGAGAAAAGAGAGAAAGTCCCCTAATGCTTGATCATCTGTCCTTACTGTTAGGAAAGTCATTCTAATCATTATCTACATATGTTTTCAATGATTTTGAGTTTGATATATTTCTCCATCCAAAAATAATAAAAAATGATATCTTCTGTTTTTGTGATATCTCACCATGTAATTTTTGGTATGTGATAGATATTGTCATTCTGAATATTTTGACTAATTTATATAAAAATTTCATCAAGAAGATTGATAGCTATGATTTTATGAAGATAATTTTTTAATGTTAATGAACAATATACATTATGTCATGCATTTCATGGTTATTAAATTTTATATATGAATTGATTTGCATAGAGAAAATAATATGATTGATTAATAATAAATATATCATTTGCATGTAAGCAATGAAGGATGGCTATCAACGCTATAGTTATTACGATTTGGCTCTTAAAATATATTACCCTGTATATGAGAGTGGACATACGGGCTTTCCTTTAATAAAAGGTTTGTAATATAATTCTAAAAGTTAGCATGTAATTGATTGATCAATTACGCCGACAAATATAGAGTGACTACTCTTCATTGATTATTGACACTCATCTATAAAAATAAGCGATTAATAGAAATGCATGAAAGATATAATTGATAGATGGATAGACAATACGAATGGATGACATATTTGAAGGATGAAAATACCAAATTAAAGTTGGATGTCCACAGATATGAATATACATGCATGATACCATTTTATGATATGATAGATATTGCATACATGATATGATAAATATAGAAATGATATATGATATAGAAATGATAGATATGACATATGATAAATAAGATAGATTGACTGATAACATGATTGATTGATTTATATGATTGACCTGCAATTATATGGATAGAATGATGATATGAACATATCCTATATGATAGGGATGTGATTGACATGTATATGAATGATATAATATACATGAAATCATTCCTAGTAGCTGCTACATATAAGATTCATGTTCTATTTGATGCATTGACATCAGTTGTAAGTATGGGTTATTTGCTGGACTCTATACTTATTATATGATTTTTTCATATTTTCAAGCAACGATAAAAATCTTGTAAATTGAAATTGTTATGGGCTGCATACTAGAGTTTATTTTTGCATATGTTGATCTTTATGTTTTCTTTTATAATCATAATTCAATTGCAGTAATGTATTGTTATTAGTTGCATGTCATGACTATTGTATATGTCATTTTGAACTCTGGATTAAGATGTAAATATTTGAATATAAAATTATAATTATGTCTCCCATTGTTTATATTTCCCTAATACAATTTATCAACTCTGATTGTTGATTGAAATAATAGAAAGATGTGCAATTCTTCCAAATTTAATTTCTAAGGCATGACAATAAGCAATCGCACAGTGTGATTTCCTCAAGATGGAGAGGAGGCCAACAAGTGGCAAGCATAAGTCAACTCGACCATAAAAAGGTTCGAGTTCAAACACACACATGGGCACGAAGAGACCAAAATTAGTAAGATGGAGAGCCCATGAGTAAGGACAATGGTGGGGCCGATGATGAACTAACATACCAACAATTTTGATTTTAAATGTGTCCCAAGTAATAGGAGGAAGCTAAATTCAATGAGAAGAAAAGCTTATAAAACAACGGTTGCAATGATGATAAAGCTTGGGTGTGAAACAAAATAAATGTGCTTAAGATAACTAAGGCATCAGCTTGACTCCATTCATTTACATCCATATTAAAAAGAAAACCAACAAAACATCAAAGAATATATTAATATTCATAGTTAAATAATATTTTCACAACTTTTTTTCCAAAAAACTGCAATTTAATATTAGTGATTCAGGTTCACCAATTCAGGTTTGTGAAGCTCATATTTGTGTGCACAGTGACCCTCATGCTAATGGAGGTGATTTATCAGTTTCAATGGAGCTCAATTAATATACAACCATCTCATTACCATACAGTCCAAATTGCACTAGGAATGTACAACTCTCTTTTTTAGTTCTCCACAATCAACCCTGCAACTACTGAAAGAAAATTATCACTCAAGAACAAGAAAACATCAAAGAAGAGCACCCACTGGTTGGTAAGAACCAATTAAAAAGAATGGCCATCTATTTTCTATAACCTAGGGCTTCTCTAAATGATCTGAGGATGAGGAGGTTGAGGCAGGAGTACCTTCTCCTTGCCATTAGAAAGAGCAGGGAAAGCAGTATCTTCTGAAGAACAATGAGAATCTGCTTTGATCTCTGGAAAGCTAATATATGGTAAGGATCCATCCTTCTCTGCCTTCTTTGACTCAAATATGAACTCATCAATGTTTGTTAGAGATTTCAGTTGCTGACCAAGGGAAGCAATGGTCTTCTGACACTCTGCAAGTTTGCCAGCAGCCTCAGCAAGCTCTTTCTCCTGCATTGCCGGCATTTGACAAATTAAGAAATAGGAGTTGGTCAACTTGGGGAAATTATTAGGTGCAGACACTGGATGTAGAGATGCGTCCGGATTACTGGATGCACTGCGTACGCTCTGCTTACACTCTGCGTATTTATAGATAAACAGCAAATAAGCAGCAAATCCTCACAACTAAATATTTGCTGCTTATTTACTGCAAATACGCAATATATACACAGTAAATAACGTAAATACGCAAAGTGTAGGCAGAGCTTAAGTATAGGGTACGCAGTAATCCAAAAGATCCTCTACGTTCGGGCTCCGCACAAAATAATTTCCAGTCAACTTGAGTAGCAAAGCTGATGTCCATGACTATTAAGCATTAGTTAAGCCAAGTACATAAATTGCAAGTAAAAAGACTTGGTTAATTAGTAAGCAGCTATGGCATACCTTATTCAACTTAACAACACCATTTGAGCTTGTAATACGCCAGAGCTCAGCTTCTTTTTTCCTCCTCGAGAGCTCTTCTTCCAGGACCTGGCATTTCATAGAATACTCAACAGATAATGCCTTCTCCTCATCAAGCTTCTCTTGTAAATGTCGCACTTCATTAAGTAGATTTCCAACTTCTGAATGGGTAAACTCAAGCTGGGATTCCAAGGATCTTCTTGCAGATTCTGCTGTTTCTACTGAATCTGCTAACTTGGAAGTTGTCAATCTCTCTTCTTTGAGCTCAAGTTCTAATACGGCGATAGTCTTATTTAAATTTTCAAGGTCTGAATTTGCTAACATGAGCTGAATCTCCAGTTTTTTTGACTCCGCTTCATTTGCTTCTGCCTTAGTCGAATACACTGCAGATAGGGCTCTTTCTTCCTCTACCTTTCCTTCTAACAAGGCCACATGCTCACGCAGTTCTTCAGCTTGCATGTATGCTGAATTTAGTTGAGATTGCAACTCATTTTTTGTTCCTTCCAAGGTCTCTAATTTCTCCTCAAGTTCCATTGATAATGCCTTCTCATTAAGTTTTCCTTGCAATAATTCCAACTTTTCACTAAGTTTCATAACTTCCAAATGTGCCATCTCTAGCCCAGACTCCGTTTCTTTCCTTCTCACTTCCAGGTCAAATGCTTCAGCCATTGCGGCATCCTTTGCTTTATTAGCAAAGTCCAACTTTCTTTGCATATCGACTAACTTATCACCTGCCAAAGCAAGCTGATTGCATGAAACCTCATGTTGATTTTGAACCTCAGCTAAATCCATCTTAAGTTGAGCTTTCTCATTTTCCATCATCTCAACCTTGTTTCCCAACTCAGTAACCTGTAGCTGTAGAGCTTCAAGTTCATTTCTTAGTGACTGCACACTCGCAAAATCTCTATTAGATTCACCTTTGAGGTTGTTGGTAGAGATCTCATAATCCATTTCAGGTGTTGCAACTAGTTTCTCCATTTCAAGGAAATCATCCATTAAGTCAATCTCCGTCGATGCAGCGATGTCAGTTGCACCTACCGTGTCTTCATGCTTGAGCTGATCAAGTTGCGAGATTAGCGTCGATGCCAATGAATCCAAGCTTTCTTGGTCACTATGACATACAGGAATTTGGTATCTTGTAGATGTTGTTCTGCATGCTACAGCTTGTAACCTCCGACACTCAGATTGAAGCTTTGCTACCTTCTTTATGCTTTCCAAATGCTGCTTGCTGGCTGCTTCTGCCGTTTGAGTGCTCAGTTCTCTCTCTAATGTGCATATACGTAGTTGTTCAGATTGAACAAGGAGCTCAGTTTTAAGAGATTTGTTTTCTTTCTCTAGAGATTCGAGCCTCAAGCTGATAGACTTATCAGCATTAATAAAGGCCTCAGTTTTTGCAGTTTCAAGTTGTGCGTGAAGCTCCTTGAGCTGTTTTTCAAGTTCGAACTTCTTAGATTCCCATTCATTAGTGCTGAAGAGGAGGGCATCCTGAAGTTTCCGATCTTGCTCCTCTCTTGACTGCCTCAGCTTCCTCACACATTCCTTTAGAGCTTCCTCAAGGTGGCTGATTCTATCCTCGAGAACAGTATTCTTCAAAGAAGAGGCTTCAAGCTGCTGCTTCAAAGCTGCGAGTTCAGCTTCTGCTGTTTCCCAGCCTATCATTTAAAGTATTCCATTTAGAAATGAACGAAAATTAAAAAATAAATAATAAATGATTTTCAGTCAGAAATTAAAAAAATAATAATATTAATATATAAAATTGCAAATATCATTGAAGTAGACTGCTGCAGCTGTTGCAGCTTGTGTATTTTCCAATGAGCAATGGCAGGGATGGAACTTGAAAATCTCGACATAAGAACCAAGCACATAGATTTGTACATCAAAAGGAAGAAGAAAAACTAAAATTTCTTAAAATTTTAAATGGCACTTCTTACAAACTTTGAAACCTTTGTGATTGATTTTAATAATAGCAATTTTTTAAAAATAAGGCTTGATGTTTGTTGGAGAACATATGAAGTCTGTTCATCATAAAAAAAAATTGAAACCTATTTAATCTTTCTATTAAACTTTCAGGTTTAACGGGGCTATGGTGGTACACCAGGTGGGATGGATTTCATCAATCCCAACCACTTATTCTATACTTCTATCCAAGCACATAGGCCATCATCTACTTTTACTGATTCAAATACCCAACCATTAGGATGAACGATTTACCACCAGCTTTGGAGTTCGCACAAACAGATTCCCAATCTCTTAAGATGCACACTGTACAAATTTCAAGGGATGCCATCTCACGATCTATGTTGCACCGATACGGATACGGGACACGTCAATTCTTAAAAATACAGGATACGAGTACGGCGCGTCATTATAATTTATAAATCAAACATAAAAATTAAGTAAGCAATCAAAACATAATATTTGAAATTATAAAAAAAGGAAAGCAACATCATTTGTTGCCTTGTAGCTTACAATATCAAAATAAAAGTAAACATTAAATGTCTAGTACAACAACAAAAGCATAAACATAAATTGTCTAGCACATGAAGTTTCACCTATTCAATAGAATGAATGATATGATTAGTTTTTTCAGTGGTTTGTCTTTGAACTTCTATATCATCTTCAATAAATATCATAGCTCATAATTCATGCTCATCTAATAAGAGATTAGAATTTTCTAATATTCTCATATCATCAAGAGACTCAAATCCATCTCGGAAATGAGAGAACCTCGTTGGCAGCCACGGAAGTAAATACGACGCGTCTTTTTATTGGGATTTTTTGTTTTTCAATGGACATGCGTATCGAATACACATGTCCAACGTTTAAAATTGCGCAATAAGAGGCGCGCCTCAGCGCAATTTGGTCCATTTAAGCCTCAAAGCCAGCCCACGCAATAAGTTCAGTTTATGAGGCTTACGCCTCAAGTTTACTGAGGCGCGTCATATATTTAAGGTGCCGCCTTTAAAAAAATTAACCTAAAGTTTTTTTTTTTTCAGTTCGGCCCCCCAGTTGCCGACGTCGCGCGCCTAGTGAGATGTCGACGTGGCATCAACATTTAAACCCTGGGTTAGGTCAAATGCATAGGAGACATTTAGATTTTCAAGTTCCAGCAAAAATTCGAACTTTCAAGCATTCACTCCGGAGCAATTTCAAGCATTCTTCACTCAGTTTTTTCTAAGATGTCATCACCCCCAAAGTGAAAGGTAACTTAATGCTATGTTTTATGTTCCGTACTGCGTATTTTATGGTTATGTTATGCGTTTGTGTTCAAGGTTCTGAAGATCTTCTTATTTTATGCTTATTCTATGTGTATGCATTGCTTCTCGAAACTTTTTAAATGTTTGATACTTTGATGCCATCGTGTTTTCTTTGTATTCAAGGTTTATGATAAATTTATGTTGAAATTTGAAACATAAAACCTAACTAAATTTTAAGCACCGAGTAATATATGCGTAGGCTGTGCATACGCAATGCGTCTTTTGTGCGTATGATATGAGTACACGTTGCGTGATCCTTGCTTATATTGTGCGTGCGTATAATTTGCTGCCATTTTTTCTTCAATGTGCGTATGTTATGCATATACTATGCTTGATCAGTGCTAATGATGTGTATATTGTTTGCGTTTGTATAATTTGCTGCCATGTTTCCTGAACTGTGCGTTCTTGTGCGTGTGCTGTGCGTAATATATGCGTGTGTTATACGTACACTGTGCGTGATTGTTGCTTATATTGTGCGTATGTTATACATTTTTTGTGCGTATCTCATTTACTTATTTTTTTATTTTTTACAATTTTCATATATATGTTCGTCCAATTACCTATCGATGATATGTTTCTTCGTTTCGAACAATCTGTGATAACTTTACTCAGCAAATTACTCCTGAAGTCAAGGACACATTGAAACGTTTAAAGATGATACAGTTTTTTGAATTTCTTGTGTTTGAGCAAAATATCCCTCTTATTTATGAGCTGATCTCAAAGGCCACCCCCCAATCTCCCCATCATACCCCACCTCCTCAGCAAGACCCCCACCAATCTCCTCAGCAACCACATTTAAGTTTTTCTGCTGAAGCACTTCAGTCTCTACAAGAAACAATAATCAAATCCTGCCAAGAAACATGCACAAAACTTTTTTGAGAATTTAAAGACAGGCTGAGCACAAAGTTTTAAGATCTAACTGAGAGAGTTGGAGTTTTGAGGTCAAGCTCAATAATTATATTGATCAGAGCAAAATAGTTCCTCAGAAAAGATCTGTTAGCTACTATTTATCTTCCAATAAGAGACATAAATCAGATATCCCTCCCAACAGCCCCAATGAACCAAATGAGTCAATCCCACCAAAAGATCCAATCCCACCAAATGAGCCAATCCCATCAGAAATGCAACTTATTCCATATACAAATCCAAATGAACCAATACCAGTAGATAACATTCAAATAAAACCTGTAACTCATGTTTATGCAGATGAAATAAAAAATTACAAAGGTCTTCTGTGTTTGACTTCTGAGAAGAGAAATTTTGTGCGAGAAAGTTTGAAAAAGTTCAATAAAAGGTAAAAAAATTGCAACTTATTTTTTTTGAATATTTACAATGCTTGTTCAACTTTCCGTTGATGTAACTGAAGTATGTGCTAAGGAATGTCAGGATATTTCTTCTCCTTTATTTGGCAGACCAGTAAGAAGGGACACTTCATCAGCAGTGAAATGAATGAGTTGACTTTTATAACAAAGCATTGTTTTGAAATGTACCACCTTGAGATCAGCTCATAAATAAGAGGAACATTTTGCACAAACCCAAAAAATTCCAAAAACTGTATCATCTTTAAAAGTTTCAATGTGTCCTTGAATTCAGGAGTAATTTGCTGAGCAAAGTTATCACAGATTATTCGAAATGAAGAAACATAGCATCGATAGGTAATTGGACGAACATATTTTTGAAAATTATAAAAAATAAAAAATTAAAAATAAGTAAATGAGATACGCACAAAAAACGTACAACATACGCACAATATAAGCAACAATCACGCACAGTGTACGTATAACATACGCATATATTACGCACAGCACACGCAAAAAAATGCACAGTGCAGGAAACATGGAAGCAAATTATACAAACGCAAACAATACGCATATCATAAGCACTGATCACGCATAGTATATGCATAACATACGCACAAGAACGCACATTGCAAAAAAAATGGCAGCAAATTATACGCACGCATAAAGTACGCACAATATAAGCAAGGATCACGCAACGTGTACTCATATCATACGCACAAAAGACGCATTCCGTACGCACAGCCTACGCATATATTACTCGGTGCTTAAAATTTAGTTAGGTTTTATGTTTCAAATTTCAACATAAATTCATCATAAACCCTGAATACAGAGAAAACACGAAGGCATCAAAGTATCAAACATTTAAAAAATTTCGAGAAGCAATGCATACGCATAGAATAAGCATAAAATAAGAAGATCTTCAGAATCTTGAACACCAACGCACAGCATAACCATAAAATACGCAGTACGGAACAGAAAACATAGCATTAAGTTACATTTCTCTTTGGGGGTGACGACATCTTAAAAGAAACTGAGTGAATAATGCTTGAAATTGCTCCGGAGTGAATGCTTGAAAGTTCGAATTTTTGCTGGAACTTAAAAATCTAAACGTCTCATCTGCATTCGACCTAAACCAGGGTTTAAATGTTGATGCCACGTCGACATCTCACTAGACACGCCACGTCGGCAACTGGGGGGCCGAACTGAAAAAAAAAACTTTAGATTAATTTTTTTAAAGGCGGCGCCTTAAATATATGAGGAGAGGCGCAGGCGCGCCTTAGTAAACTTGAAGCGTAAGCCTCATAAACTGAACTTATTGCGTGGGCTTTGAGGCTTAAATGGACCAAATTGCGCTGAGGCGCGCCTCTTATTGCGCAATTTTAAACGTTGGGTTCATACAAAGCCGGTAACCTGCTCTTCCACAAAACTTTGTTATTCTTCAACTGCTCTTCGAAAGGGAAAGCATCCAAAGCAAAATCAGCTGCTAAAACAAAAGCACTATGCTGTTAATAAGTCACACCTCATGGTTTTTACAATATCCCTAAAGTTTAAAAATATATATATTCGTCCCAACCAATGCCAGTTGGACCCAGCCCGGTTCGATGTTGAATGAGGATCAGGTCTTCGTCTACCAAATAATTATCTGAGAGAATGGGTTTAGAAGGGTATTTTGTCCCTTTCAAAGAGAAGTGCCAAGAGAAAGACAGCAAGAAGGCGATGGATTATCAATTTGAGGATGACTTTCTCTAAAACCATAGAAAGATAATTAGATTTTATTCCGGTTTGGAGAATTTCACAATTCTAATATGTGGTTTAGAAACCTAACAAAGATGATTAAAATTTTGAATTAGTTGGTTCTTTGATCAAGATGAATTCATCAAAATGTGATTATTGGATGTGTAATAGGTAAGTAATGATATGTTTCTTTGGGTTGATTCCCATTTCGAACAAATTTTGTTGGATGAGGTCTTCTTCAAGTCACACCCAAATTAAGGAGTTTTGATCTAATTAACTTAATTGATGATACTAAATATTTGAAGAATTATGGATGATTCAGTGCTTAGGGATGAATTTATTATTTTTTGGAACTATTTTAGTGAATTTGAAGAAAATTAAGTAACTATAATTGTTTAGGTGATTAGATCATTATTATTAATGATTTTTTGAAGTTGGGAGGATCATTAACTTGTAGTTAATGATTCCTTGTGACTATAAGTTGACGCTAGAAGCCTTTAGTGTTGTCATGAACAAAATGAATCTAATTTTTGAGGGCACATGGTATTAGTAGGTGCATGGTTACTTTATAATAGTTAAGAGTTACTTGTCTTCTAATATATATTATGTGATTAATGATATAATGTTTGCCATTTGATTAACCTCACAAGATCTTATGAGATTGATTTAACTCCTCAAACTTTTATTAATTTTTGATGGTCCGTATGATATATGCTAATTTTCCCTTATTATGCTTACTTATCTACTTGAAACATAATAAAACATGTATTTTGAATCTAAACAAAACCTTATATTATTATTTTGTAATCATCATTAGGAAAATATTTCAATGATATGTAGTGATACAATAAAATTTTTGGCAAAGTTTGAGGCCTAATTTAGCTCGAGCTAAATGGACGGGTCTATTCTAATCTTTGTAGGGCTAGCAAGGGTGGGGCTGTGAGTTTTAGCTCTCTTTTTTTTTTGCGGGTAGAAAAATGGAGTATACCAATAGGTTGGTATTTTGTATGTGACATTTGACTTGATGAATTTTTATGACCAATCAATTATCCATAATTGCAAGTAATTTAAGTTGTTAAATACATTTGTGCCATGTGATGATATGTCTACTTTTGATATATCTTAATTCTATCATAAGACTGAAGATTAAGGGGCAGTGGACAACTCACCTGCATATATATGAGCACACAAACATTGAATGTTAAGGACCTAAAGAGAAAAATGGTAAGCAAACTATGTATATATGATAAAATGCATTCATTTTTGTATTTAAGCTAGGCTAATGTAAATGTATTCTTGTGGCATAGAGCCTTCTAAGGAAAATATTTTTATTATAAATTGCTTAAATGGATTTAATATTTTGATATGTTCTAACTATATAAAATACTGAAGATTAAATGGCACATTGAAAGTTGAGCTAAAGATATAATGGTAAGCAAATTATGTATACATAATCAAGTGCATTGGTTTTCATATTTAAGCTATGCTAAAAAAAATGTATTCTTGTGGCATAGTGCTTTCCAAGGAAAATATTTTTATTATAATGGTTTGGCATTACTTGCACTGAGATTATGCTCGATCGAATTGGGGATTGACATATTGGTCAATGTGGGGAGCAATGGGGCAAGTGGCCTACATTACCTAATCAACCATCATCAAATCAAGCTAGTGAGGTCTTGGGAGATTCAGTTAGGGATTGCCTATGGCTCCATTTGAAATTGTAGGATTTTTGGGTTGTATTTTATGTAGATTTGTATTTTAATCTCATTTTTGAGAGGTTAAAAATCAGATTACATAATTTGCAATTGAACATATATTTTGATGATATGGTATTAATCACATTTTGGAGACATCAACTTGTCTAGAGAGTATCAATATGTGTTATGCAATCAAAATTGTTGGTAACAGCTTGGTATATAGTAACATATATGATATTTTAATACAGTTTACTCATAATGATGCTAAAAGGAACTTTAGAAAAAATTGTCAGCAACATTAAAAAACAAAACTACACCAACACTATGTTGCACCGATACACCTATTTATGAAGGCGTGCTGTATCCGATACACCGATACACGGATACGCCTCTGATACACCACTGATACGTGTCGGATACACCAAAGCTGTATCCAATTAAAATATTATTTAATTTCAAAAGGACACGTGTATCCGATACGCGTGTCTGTTGAAAAACAAAAAAAATCCAAAATATATATGCATCGTATTTACTTCCAGGGCTGCGAGCAAGGTTCTCTCATTTCCAAGATGGATTTGAGTCTCTAGATGATATGAGAATATTAAAAATTACTAATCTTTCACTTGTGAGCCTGAATTAGAAGCTATGATATTTATTGATGCTGAAATAAAAGTTCAAAGACAAACCAATGAAGAAGCTAATCATATCATTCCTTCTATTGAATAGTTGAAGCTTCATGTGCTAGATAATTTATGTTTATGCTTTTGTTGTTGTACTACACATTTAATGCTTCTACAAGGCTACAAATGATGTTCTTGTTTTTTTTTTTTTTTTTTTTTTTTTTTTTTTTTTTTTTTTTTTTTGTAATTTCAAATATTATGCTTTGATTGTTTTCTTAATTTTTATATATGATTTATAAATTATAATGTCGTGTCCACGCCGTACCCATATCCTATATTTTTAAGAATTGACGTGTCCCGTATCCGTATCGTGTCTTATCCGTGTCGCCGTATCCGTATCGGTGCAACATAGCACCAACATCTAGTTAAAAAAGCTTCAGATGCGTTCAACAGGTTGCTTGCTATATCAAAAGTAGTACATTTGGCAAGCATTACATCTCCTCCATGAATGCATCAGATACAACTGAAGCATAAACAGCACAATATCATTAAATCAATTGCCTAACAAAACATTCTTCAATATAGATCTTCCTAATAACATAAAATGAAATTGAATCTTCGAAATGGACAAAATTTTTCTTAGCCCTTATTCCATTAGGCTTTCCAATAAGATCAAAAGCAACATCTTCGTTTTACTAGATTTAAAGGTGACTTTTGAAGCAAATGTAATGGAAAAAAATGAATAAATGGAAACGGAAATACGAAGTTTTGCCATTATGAAATTATTAAGTGGGGTAAGAGCTTAGAACAATGTAAATATAACATGTTAAGGAGCAAGACATGTTATAAGTTCCAAAGCCTTTTTTTTTATAAGTTCCGTAACAGCCTTTGCTGAACCAAGACTTAAAACTTTGATATGACTAAAAATTTCTTTAAGGAAGAAGGATGAAGTTGTCCCGGCTTACCTGAAATGGCTTCTTCTGTAACTTTTGCATGCTGCTTTATCAGATCTTCTTTTGCAGCAACATCTAAAAGAGCAGCCGAAAGCTTCTCAGTTAAACTCTTGACCGTAACATGTCCTTCATTACCCTTATTAATAGATGAAACTTCTTGTGAGTGAGCATGATTTAGGGAACCTTCAGTAGGAGAAGAGCCAAATACCTCCTGAAAAGCAAAAAATCAAGCTATCATCATCATTTCATCCATCCAACTTAAAGTTTTAAAACAAGTTGGCAGCACTATATTTATAGATTTACAGCACAAGAGAAAAAACACAAGGATGCACAGATATGATGTCAAAGCAGTATTATGATATGGTATTTATGGTTTAATGAACAAGAGTGCATTCGTCGGACTGGTGTCCCTAGATTGTCAAAAAGACACTCTTGATTGATTATCTGGCAACGTAAGTTATATGAAAACTTCTCAGAACAAGATTTAGATCATAAAAAGAAGAAAGAGCCTTCAGACAAATTTTAAGTGAGCATTTAGATCATCATGGAAGTGGGATTTTCATTAAAAAAAGCAGTTACATACCAATATAACATTTACCAAAGCATGACAAGCGTTGCCTTCCAAATAATTAACTTCTATTTTAGAGTTTGAGTTAGCAAATAGACTGACATGTTAAAATTCTCAACAAAATTAGTAATTTTGGGGGATGTAAAACTTTAAAGGACACATTGGGCAGTAAATAGAAGTGACATAAACATTAAGGCTTCGTTTAGGACGGCTTTCTTATTGGTTCTTAAAGCAGCTTTCTAGTATAAAAATTTTAATTCTTAAACTAGAAAGCTGTTTTGAAAAACAATAAAAAAGCCGTCCCAAACGAAACCTAAAAGTTTTAACTTTAAATGCATAGAAGATCAATAATTTCAGGAAAAACCAACAAATAAAAGGAAAACAAGTTACATAGGCTAATTCCATGAGCATGATAGGTAATAGATAAATGTTTATAACAAGCATATCAATGCAAGAAACTGAACACTGAAAACTAAACTATAAAGGTTAATTAAAATTTTATAAAGGACGTAAATAAAAAGTATTGGATGGCTTAAAAAAATAAGATTGAGATGCATAGATATGATGCAAAACCAAATGACATAGCATCTTATTTCCTTGAATAGTATTATGCCTTAACTAGATGATGACCAAGAAGGATCTGGACATTAAAGTTCTTCTAATTTTTATTAAAGTGTTGAATCTAGAACTTAAGGTAATCATTTAAAATCATAAAATTACTATTTGTTGTGAAGGGACTAAAAGCATCTTCATTACGATAAAGCTAGATCGCTTTAACGGGTCATTTACGATTATTAAATAGCAATAAATTCAGCTGCTGCTGCTTGTGTATGCTGTAAGAAAAGACCCAGAAGAATGGAAAATTCCTTTTTTTTCTTTCTCTTGAGAATTATATATCCTCTTCAAGTCAAAAGATTAAAGCTCAGAATTCCAAACAGGAAAAGTATGATAAATCCAAAGTGAAGAGGAATAGTGGAAAACCACTCTTCCCTGAACCAAATTTAGGCCAGCCTAACTAATACATGCTTAGCAAATTAAAAACACAATTAGAAATGCTAAGAAAATCAAGATAAAATTTTAATGACCTTAAGAATAGATTTGCCACAATAAGAGGAGAGACGGAAATAGCATTGGCCAATACAAACTAAAATTTAAATGACTGGTGAGAAAAGTGCTGGCATTTGCAAATGTCGTGTCTCATGGATGTAATTTAGGTCTCATAAGAATCAAGAATAGATAATTACATGTTTTCTAGAGAACAATTTCTGATGCGCATTCAAATTTCACATATTCTATCAAGAGAAAAGACAGTAGCTAAGACTGGAAGAAGTTTCAGAAGAGGGAAGCAAAGTTGCACCTGCTCGTCGGAGTATCTCTCCGAATAGGACGATACTGAACCCGAGCTGTCTGACTCACCTAAGTTCTTCTCCGAGGGCTTTCTCCTCCAATTCCCACTCTGGTGATCCATATCTTAAATCCTAAGATCTCATCATTCCTCGGCTTCAAAATCCTGGAATATTTATAGGACTATTACACAAAAAGAATCTCAAACGAAAACCAGTTAAGAAAAGATAGAGAGTTCGAGATCCAGTGATTCCCAATATTTTTTTCAAAATAACTAGCCACAGTGAAACAAATTTAAAACCATAAACCCCCTATGCTCAAAACTACAACCATGTCCACATAGCTGAAATTTCCATTTACTCATTTAGGGAAAAAACCTAAAAGGGAGCAACAAATAGCATCAAAACCCTACCTTTCGAGCTGAATAACCCTTTGAAAACACCAAAAAAACAAAAATTCAAAACAGCCAATGGCGAATAGATAAAAGTAGCCGCAAGCCCGGCTGCTTGGAATTGCGTTCCGCACAAATCTTCACAAATCTTTTTCTTTTTTCAAAGAGAACTCCTCAAATAAAATACATCTTACAATAATATTCTGAATACTCATTCTCACCAGTTCTGAGAAAGGTCATGTGAGTAGAAGAGGAAAGTCTCCACTTTGGTCCGCTCTTTTCAGTCTTCAATTCGGTTGAAGAAAGAAGACCATTTCAAATCACTCCATTGAAAACTGGGTCGGAGCGCACCACGCATGCTGTGCCTCCCACCGCTTTGCTTTCGACCTCTCCGTCTTGCCATTGATGCCAATCATCAAGTTTTCATGCTGAAGGACCCCATAGCTCCTTTTAGAATTGCTTTCAGCAGCTCTCTCTCTCTCTCTCTCTCCCCGTCCTCATTAAAACTAAAATTGTTTTTTTGGACAATTTAATAAGATTAATTTGAAAATCAGATATTGGCAGCTGTCCATTATGTTCGGCACTTGGAAGCTATGTTTTCAAATTTTGAAATTGTTTGCAAATTTTAAATGCCAAAAATCAACTGTCCACCGTCCACTCCATTAGGTTTAGGGTGCCGTGTATAATATTATATTTTACATAGTTTTAATATATATTACAGTATTTCTCGTGTTAAATGTGTACTGCTAAATCTCTTAAATAAAACCAGTGATAAAATATTTTTTTTTTTTAATTTTTTTCTAAGAAGAGATGAGGGGGATATATAAATCATTTATTTACAGAACAATTTGTTTTAATTTACATGTAAATAATTGAGTTTTACTTTCACAAAGGTGAGTTTAAGCTTTTATTCAAGACAAAATTCAAAACAAAATATTAATAATTCTTAAATTATAATAATATTAATGTAATAGATATTTATAATTTACTTTCATTAATAGAGGTTTCCATGTATAACAAGCTTTAAATTTTCTTAATTAATGATCAATTATTAATTATTAATAATTAATAATTAATATAAAGCATTCAAATTAATTTGTTTATCTTTGTATTACAAGACTTAGGCTTTGTTTGAGACGGTTTTCTTGTTGCTTCTTAAAGCAGCATTTTAGTACAAAAATTTTAATTATTGAACTAGGAAGCTGCTTTAAGAAGCAGCAAGAAAGCCGTCCCAAACGAAGCCTTAATCGAGTTTGTTAATAAGCTCCATATCAAGCATTAATGAATTTTGGGTTCATTTGGGACAGCTTTCTTATTGCTTCTTAAAATAATATTTTAGTACAAAATTGTTTAATAAGCATTAAAAAAACTGTCCCAAATGAATCCTTGTTTAAATAATTTATTCATAAGCTTGATATTGAACATTAATTAAACTTCTTAATGTGATAGTTTTTGTTTGTTACTATTATATCTTCATTATTACTTTATTAATAAAAGGATTAGATATAGGATTAATGGATGACGAGCATAATAACTAATGACTGATTGCTTGAAGATAGATAATTAATGTATTGTGATTTACGTTAGGATTGTTGGGAACTCTCTATCTGAATATTATTTGCTTATTTTGGTAAGTTTTCATCAGAACATTTAATGAAGAAGCTATGATTAGTTAATTTATAAAAGGTAGTTAAGATTTATTTTTTAATAAACGTCTGGTTGCACCGAAATGCAAGGGCTGATTTGAACTGCTCACCGGCCAAATAGAGTTCATCTACTATTCAATGTGGGTTGGGTGAAGGAGGGCGTAGATGCGGTGAGGCTTGGTTCATTAATGCTTCATTTGGAATTGCTTTCTTATTGCTTGTTAAAGTAATTTTTTAGTATAAAAATTTCTTAAATTTGGAAATTTTGTACTAAAAAACTGTTTTAGAAAACAATAAGAAAGCTGTCTCAAACAAAGCATAAGACTTGATTTTGGACAACTTTTGTGCTACTTTCTAAAGAGACTTTCTAGTAAAAAAAATTTTGAACTAAAAATTTTGTACTAGAATGCCGATTAAGAATTATGTAAGAAAATTATTCCAAACGAAAGCTATGTATATTAGAGGCATGGGTTTATAAAATCTATACCAAAATGTGTCAATGTTACACAAAAAATACATTATTTTTCAAATATGTAGCCTTATAAAGAAAGAATGCTACACATTTATAATTAATGTGAGCATGCTTTTATAATAAAGTCATCATAGGAGTTGTAATGGCGCCATCATTTCATCAATAGTATTTTGGAATTTTTATTATACTTTAAATAATATAAAGATTTTATTTCATCAAATAAAAAAAGGATACACCCAAGTAAAACAAGAATAAAATAGCTAGGATTATACAACCAAAGTTAGAAATGAAGAAAAAGCAAATAATGACCCAGGCGAAGAAGCTAATCGGGCTCAGTAATTGCCAAAAGCTCCCAACCACCATCCCGATGCCAGGCTCGGACCATTCAGAGGAAGAAACAAACAACAATCCAAAAAGAAGAAAGACAAGCTAAAGAGCCACCAATGATTGCCAACAAGTCACGATTCTCCAGGTGATGAACAAAAAGCCGTCACATCAATGCCCACAAAAAAAAGATACAACTGCAAAGCCCAACACCACATTACAACCAAACGAAACCCAACCACATCCACAAAAGTCATCATAAGAGTGACTCACATCATCAACCAACAATGAAAAAGAATGCCCCCGACGATAACAGAACAATTGGATGTCTTCAATTTTTTCTTTATAAAGATAAGGGTTGTTGTTCGGCATCAATTCTGATCCAATTTTTTTTTTTTTTCTTTCAGAACTTATGTAGTCATGTTCAACTATCAAATACACTTAGGCTTCGTTAGGCGCGGCTTTCTTACTGCTTCTTAAAGCAGCTTTCTAGTACAACAAATAATTTTTTTGTACTAAAACTCCATTTTAAGAAGCAATAAAAAAGTCATCTCAAATGAAGCCTTAGTTGATCTAGACACTCTCTTAGCCATCCCATACTAGTCATCAAATTCTCATAATTAGCTTTGAGGGTCATAAGACGCAAGATATTTTAGAATACTTTGTATTGTTGTCGACTTCATAATCAAATTTCGTATTATTTCTAAAGCGACTTTTCAGTACAAAAATTTTTTGAAGTAAAAATTTATACTAGAAAATTGATTAAAAAAGCCGTAAGAAAATTGTTCCAAACTAAACCTATATGTATTAGAGGCATGGGTTTATAAAATCTATACCAAAATGTGCCAATGTTACACAAAAAATACATTATTTTTCAAATATGGAGCCTTATAAAGAAAGTATGCTACACATTTATAATTAATGTGAGCATGCTTTTATAATAAAGTCATCGTAGGAGTTGTAAGGGGGCCATCATTTCATCAATAGTATTTTGGAAATTTTATTATACTTTTTGGATGTCTTTTTTAAATAAAAATAATAATATAAATATTTTATTTCATCAAATAAAAAAGGATACAACCAAGTAAAACAAGAATAAAGTAGCTAGGATTACACGACCAAAGTTATAAATAAAGAAAAAGCAAATAATGACCCAGGCGAAGAAGCTAGTCGGGCTCAGTAATTGCTAAAAGCTCCCAACCACCATCCAGATGTCAAGCTCAGACCATTCAAAGGAAGAAACAAACAACAATCCACAAAGAAGAAAGACAAGCTAAAGGGCCACCAATGATTGCCAACAAGTCACGGTTGTCCAGGTGGTGAACAAAAAGTCGTCACATCAGTGCCCACAAAAAAATGATATAACTGCAAAGCCCAACACCACATTACAACCAAACGAAACCCAACCACATCCACAAAAGCCATCATAAGAGTGACGCACATCATCAACCAACAATGAAAAAGAAGGCCCCCGACGATAACAAAACAATTTGATGTCTTCAATTATTTCTTTATAAAGATAAGGGTTGTTGTTCGGCATCAATTTTGATCCATTTTTTTTTTTCTTTCAGAACTTATGTAGTCATGTTCAACTATCAAATACACTTAGGCTTCGTTAGGCGCGGCTTTCTTACTGCTTCTTAAAGCAGCTTTCTAGTACAACAAATAATTTTTTTGTACTAAAACTCCATTTTAAGAAGCAATAAAAAAGTCATCTCAAATGAAGCCTTAGTTGATCTAGACAATATCTTAGCCATCCCATACTAGTCATCAAATGCTCATAATTAGCTTTGAGGGTCATAAGACGCAAGATATTTTAGAATACTTTGTATTGTTGTCGACTTCATAATCAAATCCCACAAGTTACCACATGTTTGTCATGAGAAACGATGGCAAGTGCAATGAGCAAAATGCCAAAATCTTGAAAGTTTTACATGAAGTTGTGCACATGAATATTGTTTGAAAGAATTTATCCACTTAAAATATTTAAAATTAGATCTTATTTTGCAAAATAGATTGCACCACTAAGTTTACATCGTTCAAATGATCCAAATGAGTATATCTAGATCAAATCAATACATCCAAATATTTCTAGCATGGATTAAAATGAACTAGTTTCAGACAACTTGATCAAGTTGTTGAAGTCATCTAGAACTCATCAAAGATTAATGAGAGGCTTTTTTAGGCCATTTTATATTTGCCAAGATCATAATGAATTTGCCAAAGATTTGCTAGCACACTCAAAGACTCAACTAAATGCATAAGTACTCGACGAAACTACAAGGAACTCACATTTACATGGAAGATCACTCACCCCAGCTCTAGGAGGCTACTTGCCCAATCACCAGAGAAGACTCGCCTACACCTACTATGAGCTGAAGAACTCACTAGCAAGTCAACATTACATTTTTGTAGACACACGATCTCATCAATCAGCTTAATAGTGACTCCTAATCACTCACATTAAAGAGTTGTCTACTTATATTCATTATATCTCTTGTTTTTATTTTCATATGTACCTATTTAAGTTTGTTAACATATATATAATTGACTTTTCATGTATTTTTATTTTATGTACTTTTGGAGTCTAAGTGTAGCCTCTCCTATAGCACCCAAAACTCAATAAATATATTAGTAAATGGCCAATGCATGCTATATATGGCCATATATCTTCTGTCATGCCTTGGATCTAAAGTGAAAGAAATTGTTTTCTTATTCTCTTTTCATTTATTTATTTCTTTTTTATTTCTCAATGATAGTGATCAATAGTCATTTACAATCATATCAATTTGATATCCATTGCTAATTAATAGCATTAAATAAATATGAACAGTAGAAAAATACAATTTACATTACTATGATTAATATTTATATGCTACATCTAGAATCTCAAAATCATATTTATAATAGCCACATTGGCCAGAAAAGAATATATATAAACCAGATAAATTAAAATAAAACTAAACTAGTAGTGTAGAAAGAAAAATATTCATATCCTCTAGTATCTCATGTCACAAGGTCCTTACCCTTTCCTATAAACATATAAAAAAACCACATAATGAG